GCTTCAAAGGAAATGATAAAGTACAAAGACAGTCCAACTCAGAATGCAAGATAACATTTAAAAGTAATATATCTGATAACTTTTGCAGCTTAACAATAAAGACAATTTTAAAAATATGAAGAATGTGAATAGACATGTCTCCAAGGAAGATGAACAAATTACTGATAAGCATGTGAAAAGATGCTGTTCATCACTAGGGATATACAAATCAAAATCTTAAGGAGATACCACTTCACACTCACTGGGATGGCTGTAATCATGCAGACAGACCAGAAACAAGTGTTGGTGAATGTGGAGAAATCAGAACCTTCTTACATAGCTGATGGGAATGCAAAATGGGGCAGCTACTTGGAAGACAATTAAGCAGTTTCTCAAAAGATTTAACTGCCAAGTTAGCATTTGACCCAGTAATTTAACTAGTATGTATATACCCCCCAAAAACGAAAGCAATATATCCCCACGAAAACATACACATGAATGGTTCATGGCAGCATTATTCTTAATATCAAAATGTGGAAACAACCTCAAAATCCATGAACTGGTGAAGTTTTTTTTAATGTGGTATATCCGTGCAGTGGAATATTATTCAGCAACAAAAAGGAATGAAGTACTGATACATACTAAAGCAAGGACATTTTTACACAGGCCTTGAGTACTCCTTGGACAAACACATTGGCTGGAGTTGGGTGAGATGGGGTAATTTCTCAAGGTCTTCAGTTCCGCATAGGTTAATCACAAGAGGCAATGGAAGGGGAAGTGGTATATGTACTGGGATGTTAATCCACTAGTCCATGCCCCTTGACCATCCGCCCTTGGGGTAGAAGTCAACTACTATAACCTGGCTCTTAGGTGGAAAACCTACCAAATTCTAATTTTTTGAGAAGGGAAGTTAAGTCCTCCCATCTGAGCTCTTTGTCATTCTAAAGATAATGTATATTGGTTGGGCGCAGTAGCTGACGCCTGTAATCCCAGCACTTTGGGAGGCCTAGGCTGGCGGTTCACCTGAGGTCGGGGTTCAAGACCAGCCTGACCAACATGGAGAAACCCCATCTCTACTAAAAATACAAAATTAGCCGGCCGTGGTAGCGTATGCCTGTAATCCCAGCTACTCAGGAGGCTGAGGCAGAAGAATCCCTTGAACCTGGGAGGTGGAGGTTGTGATGAGTCAAGATCGTGCCGTTGCACTTCAGCCTGGGCAACAAGAGTAAAACTCCATCTCAAAAAAAAATATATATATATATGGATAATGTGTCTCAAATTTTCAAATTGAGGCCTAAAAGATCTTAGTGACAGTGACAATGATATCTGCCAGTGAGAGAAAAAAAGGTAGTTCTTGTTATCCAGATGCTAGCCTGGTATTAAAAGCTAGGCCTTCATGTCCTTCTGAGCAAACACAATTTCACAGGACACCTACATCAATACAAGACTGCTCTGCAGCCATGGTGGGTCAAGACAAAGGAACATTTCTTTAGTCACGTCATCACAGTTGCAAAAATGACCACAAACATCTCCCTGCCTTGGTTAATGTGCTTCTTAACCAGATATAGCTGTAGCTTCATTTCCTTCTTACTTAATTTTTTTTATTTTTTGAGATGGAGTCTTGCTCTGTCTCCCGGCTGGAGTGCAGTGATGCAATTTTGGCTCACTGCAACCTCTGCCTCCCTGATTCAAGCGAGTCTCCTGCCTCAGCTTCCTGAGTAGCTGGGACTGACTACAGGCTCATGCCACCAGGTCCAGATAATTTTTTGTGTTTTTAGTAGAGCTGGGGTTTACCATGTTGGCCAGGATGGTCTCAATCTCTTGATCTCGTGATCACGTGTGAGCTACCGTGCCCGGCCTATTAAGGTAACCAGTTATCCCCCACTTCCTGACAGCATCCATTTAGAGACCCCTGCTTCCTTGAACCCTAGGCAAGACCCTGCCCAAGAACCCTACCTAATATTCATCCAAATCTTAAATCCTTTCTGACATCTTATTGAGTCTTTTGCACAGTCTTTGGAGGTGTGCTCCCTTATACAGTGAGCAGTTAACCCAACTTGTTCTGTGTGGATTGTGTTCCTGAATTATCTGGTCTGGAGCTGCACAGTGGTTGCCTTATTCAGATAGAGCTTGCATTTTTAATTTTGTCACAGTCTTCACAGTCTCTTATATCCCACTAGTGTTGGTCACATTCTTTGGGCATTCAAATTTGCGTCTTGCCATGGACTGTCATGGGTTGAGGACCATCTGATTGGGTCCCTGATTAAGGGTATGTGTTAGATAACATCAGATCTGGGGTCCTCCTAAGTGATGACCAGTGACTTCAAACTCCCACAAAGTGGAGTTCAATTTACACAGCATCCAGGGTAGGTTGCTGGGGGGAAACTCTGCTGGAGGGAATGAAGATCATCAGGAAATCAGCACCAGCTCCCATTTCACCCATGAGATTCTGTGAAGCTGGGCTGAAACAACTCCACACACTGATGCTCAACACAGCTTACTGGCTGAATGTCTAATCAGATCTTAATTCCTTGGTAATTGCTGGCCAATACCCTGATCTTGAATATATCTTTGAATGAACAGATGTGCTGTTCAGTGAAAGGATAATAAACTTGCATATTACAGTTTCAGAAAATTAAAATCCCTGGTGGATGGTGTCTTTGATTAAAGTCAGCTTGTTTTAGTTTCTTCCTGGTTCTTGCAGTCCATCCACTGGAAAATAGTTTACTCATCAGAGCAGACTCTAGACAGGCACAGGATGTGAGCACTGGACCTTGGCAGCATCTAGTGACATCCCCTAGGGCTGCCTTACGTATGTCTCCCAGAGAGTTTACGCCAGTGCTGTGCCTTGGGCCCAGGTTTTTTTGGATGCTTATTCCAGAGCCAGCTGCTAAGCTGATTAATGGGTCATCCTATGCTTCAGGGACCTCATCCTAGACCCTGCCTGATGCAACCTGGCCAAGGACTGGGGAAAGGAATGGAAAGACGGAGACCCTGGTGGGGCTAAGCTATCAGAGCCAAAAGACTTCATTCTAGGAGGCAGGTGATACCCTGATTTTACAGGAGAGAAAAATGTTTCATCTGAAATTCCTCTGGTGGTGGGAATGGAGACTGGGGGTTGGGGTGATGCAGAATCCTGGTAGAGGAGAAGGTGAGTGGTATTGACAGGGTTGGGGGAATCTTACATGTCCATCCATTTTGAACCACTGCAAACCATCCGGTCCTTCTTCCCAGGGTTCTTTGTGCTTGCTGTGTCCCTCCCACCCTGGACACCAGAGGGCAGTACTAGTCCACACCTTGGCCTCCCTGGAGATGTTTGGGAATATCAGAGCAGTGCTCTCCACCCACCAGATTCCTTTTTAACACCTCCTTTTTAACAACTATTTTCTAATGCCCCCTTTACTATCACAAGTGAGATTAATTGCTAATAATATGTACTTAAGCAAATAGTAAATGTAATGCCTTAGCTCTAATGTAAACGACACATAAACGGAAAGTATGAATAAACTTTCAGTGTGTACTGCTTGAGCACGACTACACTACATGAACATGATGGAGTCATTATGCTTGTGCCTAGTAGGGGGTCATCACTGACAGAATGCAAGTGCATGTGGGTATGTTGTGTCAGTGATAAACACATCATGATTTTCTAAGGTGGTAAACAATTCACGGTAAAGTTAGAAAATAAAATGGAGGCCAGGCACAGTGGCTTAATCCCAGCACTTTGGGAGGTCAAGTTGGGTGGATCACCTGAGGTCAGAAGTTGGAGACCAGCCTGGCCAACATGGTGAAACCCCGAATCTACTAAAAATACCAAAAGTAGGCAGCCGTGGTGGTGGGCGCCTGTAATCCTAGCTACTCAGGAGGCTCAGGCAGGAGAATCACTTGAACCTGGGAGGTGGAAATTGCAGTGAGCTGAGATCGCACCACTTGCACTCCAGCCTGGGCAACAAGAGTGAAACTCTGTCTCAAAATAGATAAATAAATAAATAAATAAATAAAATGGAATATAGCTGTCCTTTTATTTACAAGATTGTTGCATTCTTGGAAATTTCAATGTATATTAAAACTGCAAAAATTATTTTTTCAATGCATGAAATGGATTCTGTACTTCTATATTATAAACAAGTTTGTGATTTAGTCCTACATGAATATCTAGCAGGAGAATATTTGAAAATCAAGTTTTGTTTTGTTTTGTTTTTTAGTGACAGGGTCTTGCTATTTTGCCCAGGCTGGCCTTGAACTCCAGGGCTCAAGCCGTTTTCCTGCATAGCTGAGATTGTGGGTGTGTGCCACCTCACCCGGCTTAAAATTCAGTTATTTGTGTGTGTGAACTCCCCATGTATTGCATGAAGTCTGGCAGCTTTGCCCCCATTCAGTGCAGTACCTCCACCTCCACCCGTTTTGTTGCCATCATTGTGACCACTAAAAGCATCCCTGCAAATTTGTTGTCGAGACAGAATCTTGCTTTGTCACCCAGGCTGGAGTGAAGTGGTATGGTCATGGCTCACTGCATCCACAACATCCCAGGCTCAAGCAATCCTCCTGCTTCAGCCTCCAAAATAGCTGGGTCGACAGGTGTGCACCAATCACACGCAGCTAGTATTTTGGATTTTCTGCAGAGGTGGGGTCTCACTTTGCTGCTGAGGCTGGTCTCGAGCTTCTGGGCTCAAGTGATCCTCCTGCTTTGACCTCCCAAAGTGCTAGGATTACAGGCATGAGCCACCATAATCCCTACAAGTTTTAAAAACAGCCCTTGGAGGAGGTGCCCTCCTCACTGAGAACCAGTGGCTTTGTTGGCCTCTGGAGGGCTAGAAGCAGTTGAGCTGCTGGTAAATATATTTGCATTATGCTGTTTAAGGAACTGAACAAAGTTTGCTTGTTCTCCCATGACATTCTTTTGAGACCTTAGCTTAAGAGCCACTACTCTGAACCACTGCTCAAGGACAGAGAGAATTAGGAGTTGTGTGGTGTGCTGGATGGTGGGTGGATTATGTACATATTTATACTCCCAACACCAATTTCCAGGGGAGGCCAAGAACAGCCAAGTTTCATTTATTTGTACAAATATAGGCATGAGCAAGAATGTTCTAAACAATGTAATGATTTTCAGCATCAATTACGGAATTTCCTCTGATCATTCAATTGGGTTACAGATGAACAACTTCAATTTAAGCTTTGACTTTTAAAACTCCCCCTCTGCTTCCCGATGAACCAGGATAATTCCTAAAATTACACCCAAACGAATCTGTCTTGACACATTGGGTTTTGTTTGCCTTAAGAAAAATTTAGAATATAATATGGGCAAGGAGGCTGGAATGAGGTTTTGGATGGCACAAGGACGTATACTCAATTCTGTCTGGACCACTGATACAAAATCATTCTCACTTCATTTTCAGGGTTTCCATAATTGTAGCAATTATCTCAGTAACATTTTTGTTCACACTTATTTGGATAAACGTTTCTGGAGCTGCCGGGGGCTCTAGAGTCTCGAACTGGGACTGCAATAATTCAGGGGGCATAAAATGTCCCTGTCTTTTGAGTAAGCGTTCAGAGATGACCTCAAATGACCCACTCAGATGGACCACCAGGAGCTGTATCTTAGCCCACTTTGCTTCCCTTCCCGACTCCTTGCACTTCGGAGCTGCACCATCTTTTCCTTGTGTTAATATGTCTCTGTACATTTTCTTCAGGGCTGAACAGGCTAGAACCACATGCTGTCCCGAGGCTACATCTCTGTTTTAAAAAAGAAAAAAAAAAAAAGGAGGCAAAAGAATGAAGACATTTAAAATAACCTCTGTCAATTCCAGGTGCAGGTTCCAGTCCTACTTCCTGCCAATGGAAGGCATTAGAAAACAGTGGTTAAGCATCAGGCAGTCCTAACATCGAGTTGAAGATCTGCTAGTAAAGTGAACAATCTTGGGCAAAGGCATTGACCTCTCTGAGCGCCAGTTCCTCATCATCTGTTAAGTGGGGCTACACAGGGTACCTGCCCATAGAGCTATCTTAAGGAAAACACTGTTCGAGATCTCTGTTATACAGATATGCTCAGGAAGTGTTGGTTCTGCTTCGATGGATGCAAGACGTTACTACATCTCAGCGTGTGGACACAGGGCTCCCGGTATGCCCCTGTGCCATGCAAACAGCCAAGCTCAGGTCTCTGCAGGATGTTCACGGATCTGCATTCTACAATGGGCTTCTCCCCATTCCTACTCTACACTGTCTGGGGGAGAGGTGAAGAGCTGGAGAAAGCAGGAGAAAAGGGAGCATCAGCCCCTCTGTGGGCAAGGTGAGCAGCATATGAGAGGTTTCTAGGGATGCACTAAGAAAAAAACTCGAGCCAGAAACAGAGGCAGTGCGACACAGCATCAATAAGGGGAAACCTGTGTGCCAGAGACCACACCAGAGAGTGAGCCACGGCTTCCAATCGGCTGCTGGGTGTGGGAGGTAGTCATCCTGGGGCCAGGACAGGACTCTAGAGTTAGGAGGTGGTGCATAAATTCTGGCTTATGGATCCAGCATAAAGTTCTCTTCAGGATGAAAGTTCTGAAGGAAGGGGCCTCTCCTGCTCTTTTTTTTTTCAGCCAATAAATGGCTAGCAAATATAAAAATGAAGCCATACTCCCTTTTATGACTATAAAATGACAGTACTATAAAAATAGACTCTCATGAGTTTATTATGTTAGAGACCCAGGTAGGCAGACATTTTCAAACCTTGAAACCCTAAACCGTAAACCCCTAAATCAAAACAGCCTTTGCAAAGACAGGGCTGCCAGCCACAACAGGGTGTGAAAAAAGCAAACTGAATTTTTAACCATTTAAGTATATTCTAACTTCATATGGCCCAGATGGTTTTAGATGGATAAAATATGACTTCATCTTAGAAAGCAAGATCTATAACTCCCTGCCTTTTCCTTATCCTGCTCCATGTCCCAACCAGGATTTCCACTGGGGTCAGACCCACAGATGGGTGGGGTGGGGGGGACCCTTTTTGCTCAGGGGCATGCTGCAGAGCTGGGCAACATGGACTCCAATCCTGGCGACTAATTACCTGTTCACTCACAAGTGACCTCAGGCTTTCCTGGTTGTCACAGCTTGAAGCAAAGAGAAGAAAAACTGATGACTGAGGTAGGTAATAACAGAAGTGGCATCAGTGGACATTTTTTGAGCAGTTCCTACGTATCAGATAGTGTTCTGTTGCCCAACACCAACTCACTTACTCCTTACAATAATCTCCGAGTAGGAACTAGGTTAATTCCCATTTTACTGAAGAAACAGCCTCATGGAAACCAAGTGGTTGATCAAGATTGCTAGCTAGTATCTGTGGAGCTGTCTAGAAGGTTTATCTCCAGAGCCTGACTAAACTCCAGCTGCCTGTGGCTGGTTGTAATCATTGTGGTTACTTGATAGAAGTGAACTCAGTTTCTGGAATCCTTTACCATCAGTCAGTTGTGATTTCAGGAGTGTATTTTTTTACCTGTCTTTTCTGAGGGTTTTCTTTACTTGCTGGCTTTGGCTTATGCCAAGGCCCAGTGGTCTCTTACCTTAGTAAAATGTCATGCAATTTACAGAGCCATGGAATCCGGTCCTGAAAAAAAAAATCAAAACCAAAAATCCAGACACAATGTGACTTCCTGCATGTATTCTTTAGGTAGCTCTGATCTCATACGAAGAGAGATATTCACATAAGCCCTTATGTCAGCTGTCCCCTGGTCCTATTCTTCGACCCTCTGAAGAACAAAACTCCCTTCATATAAAAGTATTTTAAGAAATTTATATTTTTGCTGAAGAGAAGACAGAAAATTTACATAGCACATGCTACAGTGTTTCACAAAGAAATCCTCCTAAGACAAATTCTCTCCTCCTTCCTGGCGTAAATCTTGATTATTGGCCATAATGCATTGAAAAACAGAACCAAAAATCTATTATTGAAAATTTTAAACACACTGAAAAGCAGACAAAACTGTACAAAGCAAACCTCTGTATACCAAAAACCCAGTTTCAGCAATTTTTTTTGTTTGAAACAGAGTTTCACTCTTGTTGCCCAGGCTGGAGTGCAGTGGTGCGATCTCAGGTCACTGCAACCTCCTCTTGGGTTCTAGTGATTCTCCTGCCTCAGCCTCCGCCTCCCGAGTAGCTGGGGTTACAGGCATGTGCCACCATGTCTGGCTCATTAGTTTTGTATTTTTAGTAGAGATGGGGTTTCTCCATGTTGGTCAGGCTGGTCTTAAACTCCTGACCTCAGGTGATCCACCCACCTCTGCCTCCCAAAGTGCTGGGATTATAGGCATGAGCCACCGCACTGGGTTGGCTTCAGTGTTTTTCACCCATGATTAGTTTTGTTGTATATATGCCCCAATTACATCCCACATCCCAAAATAATCCCATCCTAGATTACTCTGAAGCTGATTCTAGAAACATGATGTGTTTTAAAAAGTCCTTGCTTTTAGGCATTTGATTACTGCCATTTTATTTAGGATTTTTGATTTTATATACTTGAGATGGGCCTATATTTTAAAAATATGGTCCATATTAAATGTTGGTATCAAGGTTTCACTAGCTTTATAAAATGAGTAGGATAGTTATCCCTCCTGTCCTATTCTTTGAAACAGCTTGTATATAATATATTATGTTTGATAAAACTAATCTGAAAAACCCTCTGGGCCTGGGGCCTTTTCTGAGGGGAGATCTTTGATTACAGATTCAGTTTCTTTAATGAGCATTGTATTGTATTCAGGTTTTCTATTCTTGATTCAATTTTGGTCGCTGCAACATTTGGTAGATGGCAGGAAGAGACAAAGACAGCTGAGCCACCCTCCCTGCCTGCCCTTCCCATCTCTTGCTGCATCCTTTTACTTTGCTAAGGAATCAGGAACTTGGTGGAAGCCAGGCGGCCACACAGCAGGAGCAGATTCAGCTCATTTCAGCCCAGCTTCTAGGCCTCCAGAATGCTGAACACAGTTCATATCTGTAGGTTACACTTGCTGTATGAGGTAGTCACTTTTGATCACCTTTATCATTACTTCAAAGGAGGAACATAAACAATCCACACCCTTACTATGAATTATACAGCTCTGGACCTTCTGCTTCTAAAGCTAAATGCAGCACCAGCAAGGTCACATTTTCACTGGGGAAAAAGCAGGTGTCCCTAAGCAGTGTCTGGCACTAGATCACTGCCATTCAATCCTGTTTCCCCCACAGTATTGGTATTTTTCACTGAAATGATCCAATTTTGTCTAAGTCTTCAAATTTACTGGCATCAGGTAATTGTGCTTCTTTCTCACCAGAGATCTATTTTTATTTTGTCAAACAACTGGCTTTTGTTCATAGTTTATTTTTTTCCACGACATAGCCCTCGGGAGATTTTGAGAACATGTGCCCAGTTTGTTTTCACTAGCATTCATTTCTATTATTTCCTATATTTATTTTTTTCTACTTGAACTGAACAACTAGCTTATTACTTTTTATTCTTGTTATTCTCAAAAATGTATTTAAAGGCTGTAGTTTCCTTCTAAGTAATGTTGTAACTGCATCCCACAAATTTTAATTGATAGTACTTTTGTTGTACCTTACTTAATAATTTCCATTATGATTTTTAACTTAGAAATTTTTATATGAATGTTAATTTAAAAAAAATTTTCTTATTCATTTTTAGAGTTCCCAACCATTTTGTGTGTGAATTTTTATTATTGATTTACAGTTCATTATAGTAAAAAATGTGACTGGTATGATACTAATTCTTTGAAATTTGCGGCAATATTCTTTGTGGTCTAGTACATGTCAATTTTTATAAATGCCCCACATGTACTTGAAAAGAATATCATTGTTTCATTAATGCTATGTCAGGCTTGATACATTTATTCATATCATCTATATTCTTAATAATTTCTTTTGTCTACTTCATGTATCAATTTTTCAAGAAAGGATTTAAAATTCCTCCATTAGACTGAGAATTTGACAGTCCAGCCTTCTGTCTTTGTGAATGTCAGAAAATGTGTTTATTTTGTGCTTACTCATGAATAAGATTTTGTTAGTTGGTGAAGAATTCTTGGTTGACAGTTTTCCTCAATAGTTTGAATAATTATTTCATTTTATTTGGGCCTTTATTGTTGAGAAATCTCTTTTAGCGTATTAGGCAGTCCTTTAGAAAATAGATCTTATCTTTGGTAGCTTTAGGTAGGAAAAAGCCTCTTTGTCTTTCAGGCACTTTGCAATTTTACCCTTGTCCTGCTCAGGACTTATTTTGCATATTCAGCGTGAGTACTTATACCCTGGAAAGTTGTTATTATCTCTTTGAATAATGCCTTTCTCTTACTTATTCTAATTACTTGGGTTCCTTTTAGCTATATGGGAAGTTTGACATTTTATCAAACACATCTCTTCATTGTTCTTGAATATTTTCTGTTTAGCTCTCTTTTTCATCCTGGGTAATATCCTCCAGTATGCTTTTCTTCTAATTCACTAGTTCCCTCTTCAGCTGTACCTAGTTTATTATTTAATCCATCTCCCATCTCTACAGGGTCATCAAAACCTCCCCCTCCTGCCTTCCTGGCTTTAATGCAGTCCAAAAATATAGGGGAGTGGGTTATTATGGTTTAGTTCAGCCTTGCCATGCTTTGATTTTGGCACATGAGATGTTCTTGTTTTGCTTTGGACTTTGGCCATTTTTATTTTCCCTTCATCTTTTCCAGGAGGAGCCTTTTAAGCTCTCCAGCTCTGAGTAACCACCTTTAGCTCCTGGGTATCTCCCCTGGGCTCAGGCCATTTCTTATTCGGAGTAATTTGATCTTCAGTAAGTAAAAGGTTATTCTACCAATGCTACCACTTTGTGCTCAGCAAGTCAAAAACCCTTTAGTTACCAGGATCCACCCTCCATAGAAGGAAGAGGAGAATTAGAAATAATATTTCTTTTTTTTCATATCAAATAAATGAGTATTTTTAAAGTATCACATACTAATGTAGGATTGAGGGTCCTGTAAGTTTACTAATCATAGAACTCTACGATTTTACTTCCATGCACACACTATTTAACCAGAGATCACTTAGGAGTTCAAATGTAATAGCTACAAAATTCACAAAAGGTACGGATCAAATGGTTAACAGCCACATAATTTATACAAATTATAATCTAAATGTCAATAGCTTCATAATTAATATAAATCATTACTTAAATCACAAGTTACTGTCATATATATACTTAGAGCTGAAATGTACTTAACAAGTGAAACATCTGTTTATGTTGGCACTTGTCTAGTGGGTATATTTAGTGGAACAAGTGTGGTTTTTTGTAAATACAGTTACAAGACGATGAGGCTTACCAGCTCCATATTTGCAGACCATATGGTCGATTTTTATAAATGTCCCACATATACTTGAAAATAGTATTATTTACTTTTCATTAACGATTATGCGAGACTTGATGCATCTATTCAAACCTGTATCCTCACTCATAATTTCTTTCATCTGCTTGATGTATAAATTTTCAAGAAAGGTTTTTTGAAATTCCTCCATTAGACTGAAAAGTTGACAGATTGCCCTTTTGTCTTTGTGTAAATCAGAAAATGTCTTTGTTTTGTACTTAATAAAGTACAAAATAAAGTTATTAATGTTAGAATATATGAGGAGACTTCATGTGCTCTTGGAGAAGAGTATATATATTTAATGCCTATTATTGGCAAGATTTTCTAGGACATCCTGCTAAAAAACTAGATGTTCTGGACACTCTGTGAAGAGAAAAAAAGTTGGACAGGCTACATTTATGCAACTTGAAACCACCATTGCAATTCAGTGTTTTCTGGGCTTATGGCGGGGAATGGGGAAGAAGGCTGTCAAGGATTATAGGCTGCAGGGGTAATTAGCTGGACTGACTGAGCTCTGCAGCATTTTTTTGATGTAAAATTGCCCCTGGGGAGAAGCTGCCCATTCAAGCAGAAATTTGGATTTCTGCTTTCCTTTATCCATTTATAAGTGCTTATTGTGTGTGTAGGGAGACCCAGTCACTGCTCCAGTTGCCTTTGGTCCAATACCCTAGACATGATCACTCTAATTCCTAAGGTACCATTTGAACTCATATTTCAAAATTCCTTTCTTTCTTGTATTCCCTTTGTAATTAGCCAAGCTTTTCTACCACATTCATGGCCTAATGGAGATGAAAAAGATAATACTGTTATATATCAGTTTTTTTTTTTTTTTTTTTATCTCTTGGATATATTTTCTAAAACAGCTCCTCTAACAGACAGTTGCAATGAAAGAAGGTGCTGGGCCTTGAAGCCTTCCGAATTAGCAGGATGGTCTACTTCCCACCCTGGGATTCAATCTTATAAAGATGTGGCACCTCCTGGCCTGCAGGAAGGGAAGCAGTGGCCACATACTTGGTAAAATGGTAGAATAAGCATTTAGGGGGCTGATTTCTAACCGCAGAGTAGGTTTTACATGAAAATGGAGGCAACTGCCTTCAAATCATAGAAATTATGTCAACTTTATAAAGCTATGAGTCAAAGGATTTATCTTCTTAGAGAAAATGAGGGCCACAGCAAGGTGCTTTCCGAAGGACTTGGAAAAGAAGGAAATAAGATTGTTCTCTAAGGG